GGTAAGTTAACTCTTCATCATCCATAAATTTTAGGAAAGCTCTCATTTTGACCTTCCAATAAGCAAATTATTGTCATCAAAATATAGCGGGACTGATAACGAATTACTCATCTAGAATATACAAAAAAGGGCCAGGAATCAATTTAAGTCTCTGATACCAATTGAGAAATACAAGTTCGACCCTAACAACACCTAGATGGGCGAATAGGTGTAATATACGGAATTTAAAAATATATCAAATTAAACAGCAACAAGTCACTTTTAATTCTTAACTAGATGATTAAACATACAAGTCAATTTGTCCTGAGTTGAATTACCGCAGTTGTATAATAAACAATAAATATAGTAAAGCAGTAAATCAAACACCGAGATGTTCACGGAGAAACCCAACTGGGAAAAACTCCGAGCACTTTACCAGGCAATCAAATATAAACGATCTTAATAACTTACAGTCAATCAGTCTAGACGACCCTTACTATTTGACCATCAGACCGCACTCCTTACAGCTCTTCCTGGATCCTGTGCTCCCCTGAACCAATCCTTAGCTGTGTTGCCAAAGCTCTTCGAGGAATCTGTTACCCTACAGCACTCGTAGCCTTATAGAACCATTTATCTCATGTAGATCACGAAGAACGACCCGTTCTTCACAGACAGGAACTCCTGTCGACTTCCTTCGATCTTTAGAACTCTGACAAGATGAATAGGAAGTGGTTTTTGGTATTTGGATATTGGATTTGATGTTTTTCTCTCAAAAGATCTCACACAAGATGAAGGTTGAAAGCAATAATGTGGAGGATTCACTCTTTAGACTTTTTCTCTCAATATTCAACCTTAGAAAAACGTACAGGTGAGTTCTGATATTTATATGTAGGTCAAGAAACGAATGGGCCAGGTAAAAAGAAATAAATTTTTTCAGACAGCACTGTCGCTCGAACGAAGGAGATAGACGATCTAGCGACGATGTTTCTGATTTTGTAGCTCGAGCCAATTCTTGGCCACAGTCCAGCAAAAATTCTCGTCATTTTCCTCCTTATTTCAAACTCGAAACCTTAGACCAACTAATTAACTTTTGAACAAATTGCACATTACTCCTTGAACTTTTACATTCTATCAAATTAAGTCATTTTGTCCATAGAATTTGCCAATTACAAAATCANTACAAAATCAACTAAAACCTAGCAATAAGTATAGACAACTGTTCATTTTCTTCCATATTTGCTCTCCCCCTTTTGATCTCTTGTGATAAATCTTGCATTCCTTACAATTCCCAAAATCACATAATAGAAAGACATAACTATTCACTATTTCAATCCATAATAGCACGTTTAAACACCTAACAAATACGATGATCTTTTATTGGGTACCAGAAATTTCTCAACAATTGGTTAAGCATAAATGAAAATTCCATCCCCAATTCTCAAAAATCAAAATCCTCACAATCAAGAGTCAACGTTGCAAGCTCACAAACACAACCACAACTCATAAACATAAATCATAAAACATAAATCATAAATGATAAATCAAAAAAATCAACTAACCTCTGAAAGAACAAAAAAAAAAAAAAGAGCAATCAAGCAGCTCACAACAGCGAAGCTGCAAACCCAGTGGCGGAGATCGGAGCCGGAGAGGCTATGCGTCGTCGGCAACCGACAACAGGGTATGGACTGTGACTATGGGACCGCCAGGTTCGACCATGGGAGGGATTCAAGTTGCACAATTGGTGGTTGTTTGCAATTGAAATTTATAAGATTGGGTTTGGGCATTAGGTTGGGCCTTTTTAGAAAAAAAAATAGAGGCCCAATAAGGAAAAAATAGAGGTCCACAATCACAATTAAAAAACATAGCCTAAACATGAATCATCATCTCCAACCTCGGCTTTTTGAGAATTTCTGTCGGCTGTGTTTTCCCTCACAACCCGCGACGACAACTTGCGGTGGAGCAAGCACTTGCGACCGTCCCCCCCTCGTCGGGTGCTGGTTCCGCCACTAATTGTAGCTTGTAGCCCTAATACATCTCTTGGCCTGCTCACAACCATCTCTTTTAGTAAAATCTCAAAAGAGTCATTCAACTTTAATTTGTCACAATTGGGTCATTGATTTTTAATTTAATTATTTCACTACGCCGTTACTTTCATGCACCTAACTCAAAATTGATGAAAATTTTTCTAAGTTGACAGTCAAATCATAAGGTATTATATACCTAATCCATGTGTGGCACCAAAACTAAGCAATGATCATTGTACCAAATAAGCAATGAATATGTGGAAATATAAAATGTAATGCTTTCTATCTATGAATTGTTTTGAATTTAGCATTTTTATAAAGTGGCATAGTGGTATGTTAACGCAAGGCTGCAAGCCAGTAAGCCATGTGGAAGATCCGTAATTATTTGGCTGCCGAGTAAGTAATTTCTAATAGTATTGGAACACCAAGTGATTAAATGCTACAAATTGGTAAAATTTGAAACTAAATTGAAGTCCAATGACCCAATTGAGACAAATGAAAGCTTAATGACCTAATTCAGAATTTTCTAAAACTTCAGTGGCCGCAGGTGAAATTTACCCATACATCACAGTAAAAGTGTTCACAGATGGCAGTAACTGTAAAATAGTAGAAAAAAGGAAAACGAACATCATAGAAATTTCTGGGAGAAAGCAAATGGAATACTCACAACTCCGACATTGACTTTATTAGGAATAGGATCAGTGAGGAAGGCCTTGGTGATGCCGAGTATCGAATCCTTGGGAGCTAGCTACACGCGCTGTCACTATGAAGTGGACATGGATCGAACTGCTCCAGATTTGACAATCCGACCCTCACATCCATTGCAAAGTATCATTGCCATTGGAGAAGAGAACACAGGAGTGCAAAAGAATCGAGAAGGTGTGTACATGAGAACGTTAAATGTGTGAAATGTGTGTAAATTTATAAATGGGGGCGATTGACTCGGTAAAGTGTCAAGTGAAAAAATGGTTGAATTTTGATTACTTAAAGGGCAACTTACAGAAATGATTTGACTCGACAAAGTGTCAAGTGACTATAGAACTTCATAAGATGATGTATCATTTTGGTTACCTGAAATGAATTAGTATCATCTTGTTTCTTTCCCTTTCTTACTATGATTGAAAGTTTTATGTATACTATTTCAACTCTCATTAGCTTAAAATATTATTCTTGATTTGCATATTTCAAAAAAGCTTCATTTTTGTGCTTTTTTGTACTAATAATTTAATGCTGCTTCATATTAAAGACTGGTATCAAGGGCAAATGATGAGGATAAGAAAAAAGGATAACAATATTCTCACTTAATGAACATTATTTATGGTACAAAAACATTTTCTTACACCACAACATCTAAATGTTGTCTACTTATGGATTTTGGGGCCATAAACAACTACAACTCACTGCAACATGACAATGGAAGCCAACAGAGCTTAAAAATCTTCAGAATGATAGCCAAGTTTCCTGCAATAGAAACATATAATAAGCTTTAGAGATTAACAGTGAAATAGAAAATAGATTTTGATTAAATGATCATTTTTTTGTATTCTTATTAAGAACCAAGCCTTTTTGTCTTGTTCCACCTCGGTTATGCTTTAACAAAACCAAGTTTTAATCTTCTTGAGCCTTGTTAGAACATCTTTAGCATTGAGCCTCTCCTCGAGCAAATCAATCGTGCATTCTAGTGCTAGTTCCATGATTAATGTGAAGCAACTCTCCTTGGCTCGAATATTATCTTCAGCAGCATTCACTAAATTGACATCCACTATCTGTGTTATTGCATCTGGGAATGATTCAAGCACCCATTTTCTCATTGTAAACTCTCCAATAAACATATCATCTGTTGGCTTCTTTTTGGTAAATGTTTCCATCAGCATAA